TCATAGAAGTAAGGACCACAGGGCGGCAAGCTTCCACTTCCAAAGACTCAGTGTTGCGATCCAGAAAGGAAATGCCTGCAGCATTCAGGGCATGCAGGCCACTGCCTGGGAGCTGGATGAAGTATATGAGATGTAGCGCTGAGTTCTTCATTCTTTTTTCTTAGGAAGATGGTCCCAGGACAGTTCTAGAGGACATACATACAACACACACAACACACAAAATATATATAATATATATATATATATATATATATATATATATATATAATATATATATATATATATATATATATATATATATATATATATATATATATATATATATATATATATATATATAATATATATATATATATATATATATATATATATATATATATATATATATATTATATATATATATATATATATATATATATATATATATATATATATATATATATATTATATATATATATATATATATATATATATATATAATATATATATATATATATATATATATATATATATATATATATATATATATATATATATGCAATAAGATCACAGTAAACAGGTGATTTCAGAATATGCAAAACAACCACTCTGAAAGAATAGAGAAATTCCAAGCGCTTTCGTGACTACTCACATTATCAAGGAACTATGAAAGTAAAGCATCCAAGGAAGCTATATGAGGGGTCTGGTCGGCACCTCACTATCAGATCCCACAACGGTTTAAACACCTGACGCGCGCCGACCCAACTTGGAAAGGTCCTTGGCACAACTCACCCCACAAACTATTCTACCCAAGAAATAAGAAATTTTAAAGATTATTTGCCCAGTGTATTAATAAATTCTTCCCAAATTCTATTAATTATAAATGGATCTAATTTATATAAACCAAAGGAAATATTCATATTATATATAATATGTTGGTTCTCCCTTACCATGAAAACTTGGTTGATATGCCTTCTCTTCTTAAGACTTTTAATATTAAAGTTGTATTAAAAAATCTCGATACAGTAAAAAAACTTTTGATAAAGAATTCCCCCCAAAATGCTGATGGATGTGTCTATAAGATTCCTTGTAAAATTTGCGATAAAGTTTATTACGGTCAAACTGGTAAAAATCTCGAACTAAGATTAAAACAACATAAATATAGCATTAGAACTGGACAAGATTCCAATGCTCTATTTATTCTTGTAAGAGATTTTAACCATCCAATTGATTTTCAAAAAGTTGAGAAAGTAGTATCAAGCAAGTCCATGGTCGACAGGAATATAATTGAATCTTGTTTCATAAAAAGCAGTTTTGACAATAATATGAATATTTCCTTTGGTTTATATAAATTAGATCCATTTATAATTAATAGAATTTGGGAAGAATTTAATAATACACTGGACAAATAATCTTTAAAATTTCTTATTTCTTGGGTAGAATAGTTTGTGGGGTGAGTTGTGCCAAGGACCTTTCCAAGTTGGGTCGGCGCGCGTCAGGTGTTTAAACCGTTGTGGGATCTGATAGTGAGGTGCCGACCAGACCCCTCATATAGCTTCCTTGGATGCTTTACTTTCATAGTTTCTTGATAATGTGAGTAGTCACGAAAGCGCTTGGAATTTCTCTATTCTTTCAGAGTGGTTGTTTTGTGCGTGTGTGTACTCACCTAATTCTACTCACCTAATTGTGGTTGCAGGGGTCGAGACTCAGCTCCTGGCCCCACCTCTTCACTGATCGCTACTAGGTCCTCTGTCTCTCAGCTTTCTGAGCTTTGTCATATCTCGTCTTAAAGCTATGTATGGGCCCTGCCTCCACTACATCACTTGCTAGGCTATTCCACTTCATAGCTGCTTTATTGCTGAAGAAATGCTTCCTAACATCCCTGTGACTCGTCTGAGTCTTCAGCTTCCAATTGTGACCTCTTGTTTCTGTGTCTCCTCTCTGGAACATCCTGTCTCTATCCACCTTACCTATTCCACGCAGTATTTTGTATGTCGTTATCATGTCTCCCATGACCCTCCTGTCCTCCAGTGTTGTCAGTCCGATTTCCCTCAACCTTTCTTCATAGGACATTCCCCTGAGCTCCAGAACTAGCCTTGTTGCAAACCTTTGTACTTTCTCTAATTTCTTGACGTGCTTGACCAGGTGTGGGCTCCAAACTGGTGCTGCATACTCCAGTATGGGCCTGGCGTACACAGTGTACAGTGCCTTGAACGATTCCTTACTAAGGTATTGGAACACTGCTCTCAGGTTTGCCAGGCGCCCATATGCTGCAGCAGTTATCTGATTGATGTGTGCCTCCGGAGACGTGCTCAGTGTTATGGTCACCCCAAGATCTTTCTCCTCGAGCAAGGTTTGCAGTCTTTGACCACCTAGCCTATACTCTGTCTGCGGTCTTCATTGCCCTTCTCCGATCTTCTTGACTTTGCACTTGTCAGGGTTGAATTCGAGAAGCCAGTTGCTGGACCACGTGTCCAGCCTGTCTAGGTCTCTTTGATGTCCTGCCTGTTCATCATCTGAACATGAACACCTCTGAGTCTATCCCTTCCATCATGTCATTCACATATACCAAAAATAGCACTGGTCCTAGGACCGACCCCTGTGGGACCCCGCTCGTCACAAGTGCCCACTGTGATACCTCATCACGTACCATGACTCGTTGTTGCCTCCCTCTCAGGTACTCACTGATCCACTGCAGTGCCCTTCCTGTTATACACGCCTGATCCTCTAGTTTCTGCACTAATCTCTTGTGAGGAACTGATTCGAACGCCTTCTTGCAGTCAAAGAAAATGCAATCAACCCATCCCTCTCTCTCTCTCGAGTCTTACTTCCGTAACTTTGTCATAAAACTCCAGAAGGTTTGTGACACAGGATTTGCCTTCCATGAATCTGTGCTGGTTGTCGTTTATAATCTTGTTCCGTTCCAGGTGCTCTGCCACTCTCCTCCTGATAATCTTCTCCATGACTTTGCATGCTATACAGGTCTGTGACACTGGTCTGTAATTTAGTGCCTCTTTTCTGTCTCGTTTTTTAAATATGGGAACTATATTTGCTGTCTTCCAAACCTCAGGTAGTTGCCGAGTTTCAAGGGATGTGTTGAAGATTGTGGTTAATGGCACTCACAGTATTTCTGCTCCATTTCTGAGGACCCACGGGGAGATGTTGTCCGGTCCCATTACCTTTGAGGTATCAAGGTAACTTAGCAGCTTCTTCACCTCCTCCTCAGTTGTGTGTCTGCCATCCAGCACTTGTTGGTGTATTCCCTGTTGGTGTCCCCCTCTGTCCTGTCTTCCCAGAGTCCTTTCTGTCTCCACTGTAAATACTTCCTTAAATCTTGAGTTGAGCACCTAGCATACCTCTTGATCGTTTTTTGTGAGTTCCCCACCTACTTTTCTCAGCCTGATCACCTGGTCTTTGACTGTTGTCTTTCTCCTGATGTTGCTAAACAGCAGTTTCGGGTCATACTTGACTTTTGATGCTATGTCGTTTTCGTACTGTCGCTGGGCCTCTCTCCTTATCTATGCATATTTGTTTCTGACTCTACTACTGATCTCCTTGTTTTCCTGGGTCCTTTGCCTTCTGTACCTCTTCCATTCTCTAATGCACCTAGTTTTTGCCTCCCTGCAACGTCGGGTAAACCACGGACTCGCTTTGGTCTTCCCATTGTTTCTGTTGCCCTTGAGAACAAACCTTTCCTCTGCGTCCTTGAATTTTGTTGTTACATATTCCATCATTTCGTTTGCTGACCTTCCTACCATTTCTCTGCCCCACTGAACCTCCCGCAAGAAGTTCCTCATACTTGTGTAGCCCCCCTTTTATTGATTGGATTTTCCCATTCGACTCCTGTTTCCCTCTCTACTTGTAACTCTACTATATAATCAAAACTCAGGACTACATGATCACTAGCTCAAAGGGGCCTCTCATCTGTGATGTCCTCAATGTCTGAACTACTCAGAGTGAACACAAGGTCCAGTCTTGCTGGTTCATCCTCCCTTCTCTCTCTGGTAGTGTCCCTGACGTGTTCATGCATGAGGTTTTCCAGAACCACATCCATCATCTTGGCTCTCCATGTTTCGGGATCCCCATGAGGCTCCAGGTTTTCCCAATCAGTCTCCCTGTGGTTGAAATCACCCATAACCAGTAACTTTGCTCTGCACGATTGAAACTTTCGTGCCACCTCAGCCAGTGTGTCCATCATCGCTCTTCTGTTCTCTTCATATTCCTCTCTTGGCCTCCTGCAGTTCTGTGGTGGGTTATACATCACTGCAATGACTACCTTATGTTTCCCAGATTGAATTGTACCTACTATATAGTCCCTTTCTCCAATCCCATCCATGCCTTCCATTTCCTCGAAGCCCAATCGGTTTTTTATGAGCAGTGCAACCCCTCCTCCTCCTCTGCTCCTTCTGTTTTTCCTCAGGATCTTATATCCTGGTGGGAAGACTGGATCTGTTATTGTCTCAGTGAGTTTCGTTCGGTGACAGCTATGATGTCTGGTGACTGCTCGTTGATTCTTTCATGCCACTACTCGTATTTGTTTGCTATTCCATCTGCATTCGTGTACCACACCATCAGCTTCTTATCTATCACAGTAGACCTGGGAGAATATTGGGGTTGGGGGAGCGGGAGCCCTGGAGGGGGCCTATGGGGGTTTGTGGTGTGGGTGGGGTTATTGATGGGGGGAGTAAGGGCACAGTGCCCGTAGGGAGCTGCTGGAGGTGTGGGGTTTGTCATGCGGGGGGGGGGCAGAGGGAACAGTGTGCTGGTTTTGGTTGAGATTGTTCAGTTGCGTTGGGGTTGCCACGGTGTGGGTGGGGTTTGTGGTGGGGGAAGGGGCATAGTGTCCATAGGGGGCTGCTGTTAGGGGTGGGGTTTGTGATGTGGGGGGTGGGGGCAGAGGGAACAGTGTGTGTTTGTGTGTGTGTGTGTGTGTGTGTGTGTGTGTGTGTGTGGTGTGTGTTGTGTGTGTGTGTGTGTGTGTGTGTGTGTGTGCGTAAACTGGGAAAAATATCCTCCTCGGGGTATACTGGTTTTATCTTTATTCATGAACATTGACTATGCTTATAATTATTATATGTAAACAGAACTAAATATAGTCAATCAGTTTTGTTGTAGAATATTATATCTGTTTTATGTTTGCAAGTATAACACTAAAATAAGAAGATATTTCATGGTAACACAGTATTCGGAGTACAGACAAATAGCAAAATTAACATATTCACCCATTAATTTTTCTTGTGTGCGCCCGTTTGAATCCACAAAAAAACTTCCGGCATAGTTCATGTATTATTATAAAAAAAAAAACGATCTTGAGAATATTATGATGTATACTGGCAGGCGAATCTCTGTTTGTTGCTGCATCTAGCATCGTTGAGTGGTGGGTGCCATTCAGGTCTAAGGTCCATGCAATGTTCATTTCCATCATAATTATCAGGTTGTGACCCACTCCAGTCCTCGCTTTTTATGGGTCGTCCGTTCAGCCATTTCCACTCCCCTTCTTGTCCTTCATCAGTGGCACCAAGCCAGACAAAAACGGAACCTGAAACATAAGAACATAAGAACATAATAAAGATGGAACACTGCAACAGGCCTACTGGTCTATGCGAGGCAGGTCCAATTCTCCCACCAGCTTAAGCCAATGCCTTGACCTAGTGAGGTCAGGAGGAGCACTGCATCCGACCTAGTAGCACAAGCTAGTCAGGTCCAACTCACACCCACCCACACCCACTTATGTATTTATCCAACCTATTTTTAAAACTACACAACGTCTTAGCGTCTATGACGGTACTCGAGAATTTGTTCCACTCATCCACAACTCTATTACCAAACCAGTGCTTTCTTATATCCTTCCTGAATCTGAATTTTTCCAATTTAAAGCCATTGCTGCGAGTCCTGTCTATGTTAGATATTTTTAGCACGCTATTTACATCCCCTTTATTAATTCCTGTTTTCCATTTATACACCTCAATCATATCCCCCCTAATTCTACGCCTTTCTAGAGAGTGCAGGTTCAGGGCCCTCAGTCTATCCTCATAGGGAAGAGTTCTGATAAACGAGATCAACTTTGTCATCCTTCTCTGTACGTTTTCCAGAGCATTTATATCAATTCTGTAATACGATGACCAAAACTGTGCAGCATAATCTAAATGAGGCCTAACCAAGGATATATAGTGTTGAAGAACAACCTGAGGACTCCTATTATTTATACTTCTTGGCATAAAGCCAAGGATTCTGTTAGCTTTATTGCAAACACTAATGCACTGTAATATTAAGATCTACATTATTTAGTTTATATATGACATGGTTATCTTCCTGTCCAACATTTAGAACTTTGCATTTGTCTATATTAAACTGCATCTGCCACTTCTCCGACCACTGCATCAGTCTAATCAAATCATCCTGGAATGATCTAATGTCCTCATTAAAATGAATTGGACGGCCTATTTTCTTGTCATCAGCAAATTTTCTCATGTTGCTATTTATTCCCTCATCTATGTCGTTTACATAGACTGTGAGCAACAAGGGGCCCAACACTGACCCCTGTGGAACACCGCTTGTCTCGTGCCCCCATTCTGATTTCTCCCCATTTATGCAAAAACTCTCTGCTGCCTATTCTTCAACCATGCCTCAACCCAGGAAAAAATTTCTTCTCTTTTTCCTGTGATGTGGAACTCTATCGAGAGCCTTATTGAACTCCATATACACAATATTATATTCAATGTGTGTTAGGTAAGACACATATGCAACAGTTAGGTATCTTTATTTCGAAACGTTTCGCCTACACAGTAGGCTTCTTCAGTCGAGTACAGAAAAGTTGATAGAAGCAGAAGATACTTGAAGACGATGTAATCAGTCAAGTAATCAATTCAAGTATCTTCTGATTCTATCAACTTTTCTGTACTCGACTGAAGAAGCCTACTGTGTAGGCGAAACGTTTCGAAATAAAGATACCTTACTGTTGCATATGTGTCTTACCTAACAACCTGTCGGTATTTTATACCATTTTAATGTTCCATTATATTCAATAACTTGATCTAATTCCTCAAATACCTTAGTGAAGAAAGTTAGTAAATTCATAAGACAGGAAGGCCCCTTTGTAAAACCGTGTTGAGATTCGTTAATCAATTTATGCCTATCAAGATGGCTACGAATTGCTTTGGCAATTATTGATTCCATAAATTTTCCCACTATGGAGGTAAGGACCTGTCACCTGCCTTGTAAATAGGTATTACATTTGCCATTTTCCACTTGTCAGGCACTACGCCAGTTCGCAGTAATATGTTGAAAAGATTAGCCAAAGGTATGCTAAGTTCCTCTTTACATTCTTTTAACCCACTGGCAAACAGTTCATCAGGGCCTGGGGATTTGTTAGCTTTTAATTTCTCTATTTGTCTGAGGACCATGTCACTAGTTACCACAATCGTGCATAGTTTATTATCATCCTGTTCTACATAATCTATTATTTCTGGAATATCGATAGTATCTTCCTGAGTAAAAACTGAGAGGAAGTAAGAATAGAAAATTTAACACAAATCCTTATCACTGTCAGTGATCTGATCTGAGTTACTCTTAAATGAGCCTATTTTGTCCCTAATCTTACTTCTGTATACATGAAAGAACCCTTTTGGGTTAGTCTTCGAATCCCTTGCGACCTTAGCCTCATAATCCCTTTTTTGCTTTTCTTATTCCTTTTTTTTATTTCTCTCTTTAATTGAATATATTGATTTCTTAACTGCCCATCCTCTCTTTTGATACGCCAATATATGCCTCTCTTTTGACCAATGAGATGTTTTAATCTTTTGTTCATCTATTTGGGATAATTTTTGTTAGTTCTAATTTCCCTGCTCAGAACAAAAGTTGTCTGGGCAGCTAGAACTATGCTCTGAAAAACGTCATATTGGCAACAAACACCACCAACCTGACCCATAGTCAGGGCATCCCAATTTAGCTCACCCAGGTAATTTTTCAGTCCCATGAAATCAGCCAAGCGAAAGTCTGGGACAGATATTTGATTGCAGTTATCCGGGTAATTCCATGATATATTGAAATTAAGTGATTTGTGATCACTTTTCCCTAGCTCATCATTAACCTCAAGACTATTAACTAGTGATTCTTTGTTGGCAAGAACCAAGTAAAGTAGATTGTTTCCTCTAGTTGGTTCGGTTACAAACTGTTTTAAAAAGCAATCCTGAACCGTATCAAGAAAGTCACTAAGCTCAAGATTTCCTGTCACATTGTTTCAATCAATTTGTCTAAAGTAAAATCTCCCATTAACACAACATTTTCATCTAGATGCCTTATGAATTTCGTTCCACAACAGCTTACTGCACTCTCTATCAAGGTTTGGGGCCCATAAATCACACCCAAAATTAACTTTTCACGGCCCTCGAGAAACTGTAGCCAAACACATTCTGTGTCCGATGTTTCTAATCTTATATCTTGTCTAACACTACAATTTAAATTATCTCTGACATACATCGCCACTCCACCACCCTTCCTGTTGACCCTATCAGTATGAAATAGTTTATAATCCTGTGTTGCATTCAGAGGGCATTTCTCTATCTTTCAGGTTGAACCAGGTCTCTGTTATAGCAATAATATCTATATTTGGTAGGGTGTGCAAAAGAAGAAAATTAAAGGTGAATACAGGAAAGAGTAAGGTTATGAGGATAACAAAAAGATTAGGTGATGAAAGATTGAATATCAGATTTGAGGGAGAGGGTATGGAGGAGGTGAATGTATTCAGATATTTGGGAGTGGACGTGTCAGCGGATGGGTCTATGAAAGATGAAGTGAATCATAGAATTGATGAGGGGAAAAGGGTGAGTGGTGCACTTAGGAGTCTGTGGAGACAAAGAACTTTGTCCTTGGAGGCAAAGAGGGGAATGTATGAGAGTATAGTTTTACCAACGCTCTTATATGGGTGTGAAGCATGGGTGATGAATGTTGCAGCGAGGAGAAGGCTGGAGGCAGTGGAGATGTCATGTCTGAGGGCAATGTGTGGTGTGAATATAATGCAGAGAATTCGTAGTTTGGAAGTTAGGAGGAGGTGCGGGATTACCAAAACTGTTGTCCAGAGGGCTGAGGAAGGGTTGTTGAGGTGGTTCGGACATGTAGAGAGAATGGAGCGAAACAGAAATGACTTCAAGAGTGTATCAGTCTGTAGTGGAAGGAAGGCGGGGTAGGGGTCGGCCTAGGAAAGGTTGGAGGGAGGGGGTAAAGGAGGTTTTGTGTGCGAGGGGCTTGGACTTCCAGCAGGCATGCGTGAGCGTGTTTGATAGGAGTGAATGGAGACAAGTGGTTTTTAATACTTGACGTGCTGTTGGAGTGTGAGCAAAGTAACATTTATGAAGGGGTTCAGGGAAACCGGCAGGCCGGACTTGAGTCCTGGAGATGGGAAGTACAGTGCCTGCACTCTGAAGGAGGGGTGTAAATGTTGCAGTTTAAAAACTGTAGTGTAAAGCACCCTTATGGCAAGACAGTGATGGAGTGAATGATGGTGAAAGTTTTTCTTTTTCGGGCCACCCTGCCTTGGTGGGAATCGGCCAGTGTGATAATAAAAAATAATAAAATAATAAATCTATATTACCTGCACTTGGAAGTAATCTTAACTCATTTCTTAGACTCCAACTATTTGTATAGTAAACCTTAAGGGAGCTAGTCACTCGTTGTCCTCTACTGTCTCTCTTTGTTTGCTGATCAATTTATTTGCCTTACTAGCAACTTTATTTTGAATATTGGCTTTTAAACATATCCCTGAGGTATTCTGGTTACATCTGCTGTTTTCAGCCCTTGTACTGCAGCCTGATTGTTTCCCACAGACACCCATACCTCTATAATCTATCAGTTTTAAGTCCAGGACAAGTCATCAATGACCCCTTCAATCGAATTGGCTAATGCAATCACTCCAGCCTCAGCGAGATGAACCCCATCCCTATGGCATGCTTGCCATAGAATATGTCTCAGTTATCAATGAATGGGATTGCAAGTTCCTAGCAGTACTTGTCTAGCCAGCAATTTATACCAATTGCCCTAGACATCCATTCATTGCCCACTCCCCTTCTAGGCAAGATGCTACATATGATTGGGATCCCTCCCTTAGACCTGACTACATCTATGGCTGACCTATACTTATCCAGCAGCTCCTGTCTCCTGCCATTCCCGATGTCATTTCCACCAGCACTAAGACAGATAATGGGCTTGTTCTCATTGCCTGACATAATCTTATCCATCCTGCTGACTATGTCACCAACACCAGCTCCTGGGAGAAACACCCTCTGCCTGACCTTTCTATATCTTTTACAAAAAGCATGGTCCATATATCTCTCCTGAGAGTCTCCCACAATCAGAATATTCTTACCTTGATAAGCAGGGGAGTCAGTGGTACCTTTAATCTCACTAACCACTGAAGTACACTTATCCTGGAGAACAGAGAAACTATTTCCTACCATCACATTTTCTCACTTAACCTTCTCTATCATCCCTCTTTCTGAACTGTGAACCACTTGCCACTTATAGTGGCTGCCACTCTTCACATCA